CCAGTATGTCAGTCTTTGTAAAATATAATAGAGTATTTTCTAAATAATGAGTAAAAATGGCTGTGAGTGAGGACCCTTAAATATCCTACCTCAAAGACAGATTTAGAACAAGTGGTTTTTATATTTTTTAGTCTACTGAGAGAAGGGTCATAAAAAGGAGCAGGAAGGGACTTTAAAAGCCAAGCATTCTAATCCTTTAATTTTACAAATGAGGAAACTGAGGCCGAGGGAAATTAAATGACTTGCCCAAGTAGTAAGTGCCAGATGAAAGATTCAAATACAGCCTCTCTCTGACTCCAGAGCCAAGATGCTTTCCACGTTGCCACTCTAACTTTATCATAGAATATTAAAAGTGTAAGATACCATAGAGGTCATGCTTCCAACTCTCATCTCACAGATAAAGAAACTAAGGCTTAGAGGTTAAGCAGGCCATTGGCGTTCATGCAGTTGGCTATACTAAGTGGAGAAGTGTTTTGAAATCCTGAATTTAGAGGTATCTTTTAACAAAGCAAAGTAATTTCAACATACTATTACAGGGCAGATTGAGAATGCTTTTCTTGCTACAAGGGCATACTTTCAACATAGTTTAAAATATGGTGATTCCAGTGTTATTTTCATGTTCAAGAAATGCAGACCACTTTCTGAAATTTCATATTTTCTCTATATATTTGGTATTATTCTAAGGACTGGACAATGAGGGCCCAGGCCCGGGAGAACATTGAAGTTTGGTGGGCCTGCTTCTGAGTATGTATAACAGAGAGCTCTGTTCTCCAGTTTGGGGCATGCACGGTTATTCTATTAACTGTTTCTCATTCACTCACTGAGTGGCAGAGGAAAGGCTTTTTGATTGGCTTCTGAGACTGAAATGAGAATGCATTCAAAAGGTCCCATTGACTTGACCTTTTTCTCTTTCGTGCCTAAATATGGTCAAGTCAGAAAAGAATAATCACTTAAATCTTTGGATGGGAAGAGTAGGCGACTGATGGGGAGAATGTTTAACACCCTAATATTTTGAACCAGTTAGCATCATTTAGCTTTTACAAAGAGATATTTATTGAAAAGACATGGTAAGAAGCAAAGGACAAACATTTCCCCCAAAGAGCAGGAACATATTTCCCCCCCTACTGTCTTATTCCTTGGGAAGAATAGTTCAGATTTAAAGCCATATCTAAAAAGCATTCAACCCCACCAAGCTCACTTTCCAATGTGTAATAGTTGATGGACAGAGTGGCTCTCTTGCTTAACAAGAACTTGTATCTTGGCTGCAGGGTCAGTCTGCTTCTAAGTTGGGTCCTGTTTACTCCTCTTCAACCTTTCTTTTTTTTTTTTAAACTTAATTTTATTTATTTTTTTCCAGTTATAATTAAAGATAGTTTTTAACATTCATTTTTATAAGATTTCGAGTTCCAAATTTTTTCCTTCCCTTCTCTCGCCCTTCCCCAAGACAACAAGCAATCTGATATAGGTTATACATGTACAATCATGTTAAACATATTTCCACATTAGTCACGTTGTGAAAGAAGAATCAGAACAAAATCAGAACGAGAAAGAAAAAAAAAATAGTATGCTTTGATTTGCGTTCAGACTCCAAAGTTCTTTCTCTCGACGTGGATAGCATTTTCCACCATGAGTCTTTTACAATTATCTTAAATCATTGTATCACTAAGAAGAGCTAAGTCTATCAAAGTTGGTCATCATACAATGTGACTGTTACTGTATACAATGTTCTCCTGGTTCTGCTCACTTCACTCGGCATCAGTCTTTCCAGGTTGTTCTGAAATCTGCCTGCTCATCATTTCTTATAGAACAATAGTATTCCATTACATTCATATACCACAACTTGTTTGGCCATTCCCCAATTGTGGACATCCCTTCAATTTCCAATTCTTGGCTGCCACAAAAAGAGCTGCTATAAATATTTTTGTACATGTGGATTCTTTTCCTTTTTTTATGATCTCTTTGGTATACACACCTAGTAACTGCTATTGCTGGATCAAAGGGCATGCACATACCCAAAGGGTATGCCTTTTGGGCATAGTTCCAAGTTGCTCTCCAGAATGGTTGGATCAGTTCACAACTCCACCAACAATGCATTAGTGTTCCAATTTTCCCACATCTTCTCCAATATTTGTCATTTTCCTTTTCTGTCATATTAGCCAATCTGTTGCGAGTGAGTTGGTACCTCACAGCTGTTTTAATTTCTCTAATCAATAGTGATTTAGAGCATTTTTTCATATGGCTATAGATAGCTTTAATTTCTTCATCTGAAAACTGCCTGTTCATATCCTTTGATTTACCAACTGAGGAATGACTTGTATTCTTATAAATTTGATTCAGTTCTCTATATATTTGAGAAATGAGGCTTTTATCAGAAACACAGACTGTGAAAATTGTTTCCCAGATTTCTGCTTTCCTTCTAATCTTGTTGCATTGGTTTTGTTTGTGCAAAATCTTTTAAATTTAATGTAATCAAAATTGTCCATTTTGCATTTCATAATGTTCTCTATCTCTTGTTAGATCATAAATTCTTCCTGTCTCCATAGATCTGACAGGTAAACTTTTCCTTGCTCTATTTGCTTATGGTTTTATCCTTTATGTCTAATCATGTACCCATTTCAACCTTATCTTGGCATAGGGTGTGAGAAGTTGGTCTATGCATAGTTTCTGCCATACGTTTTCTTAGTAGTATTTGTCACATAGTGAGTTCTTATCTCAGAAGCTAGAGTTGTTGGGTTTATCAAGCAATATATTACTATAGTCATTTACTATTGTGTTGTGTGTACCTAACCCATTCCACTGATCACTACTCTATTTCTTAGCCAGTATTAAATAGTTTTGATGATTGCTGCTTTATAATATAGTTTTGGATCTGGGTAGGCTACCTTCCTTTGCATTTTTTTCTCCTTAATTCCCTTAATATTCTTGATCTTTAGTTCTTCCAGATGAATTTTGTTATTATTTTTTCCTAGTTCTATAAAATAATTTTTGATAGTTTGAGTGGTATAGCACTGAATAAGTAAACTAATTTTGGTAGAACTGTCATTTTTATTATATTAGCTCGGCCTAACCATGAGCAATGGGTATTTTTCCAATTGTTTATATCTGACTTTATTTGTGTGAAAAGTGTTTTGTAATTGTGTTCATATAGGTTCTGGGTTTGTGTTGGCAAGTAGACTCCCACATATCTTATATTGTGTACAGTTATTTTAAATGGAATTTCTTTTTCTATCTCTTGCTGCTGGGCTTTGTTGGTAATATATAGAAATGCTGATGATTTATGCGGGTTTATTTTATATCCTTTGAGTTTGTTAAAATTGTTAATTATTTCAAGTAATTTTTTAGTTGGTACTCTAGGATTCTCTAAGTATACCATCATATCACCTGCAAAGAGTGATAACTTTGTTTCCTCATTGCCTATTCTAATTCCTTCAATTTTTTCTTCTCTTATTGCTAAAGCTAATATTTCTTGTACAATATTGAATAGTAGTGATGATAATAGGCATCCTTGTTTCACATCTGATCTTATTGGGAAAGTTTCTAACTTATCTCCATTACATGTTATGCTTGCTGATGGTTTTAGATAGATACTATTTATCATTTTAGGTAAAACTCCATTTATTCCTATGCTTTCTAGTGTTTTTAAAAGGAATGGATGCTGTATTTTGTCAAAAGCTTTTTCTGCATCTATTGAGACAATCATATGATTTGTTAGTTTTGTTATTGACATGGTCAATTATGCTGAAAGTTTTCCTAATATTGAACCAGCCCTACATTCCTGGTCACGGTCTATTATCTTGGTGATGAATTGCTGTAATTTCTTTGCTAATATTTTATTTAAAATTTTTGCATCAATATTCATTACGGAAATTGGTCTATAATTTTCTTTCTCTGTTTTGGCTCTTCCTGGCTTAGGTATCATCATCATATTTGGGTCATAAAAGGAATTTAGTAGGACTGCTTTTTCGCCTACTTCCTCAAATAGTTTATATAGTATTGGAATTAATTGTTCTTTAAGTGTTTCGTAGAATTCACTTGTAAATCCAATCTAACCCTGGAGATTTTTTCTTAGGGAGTTCATGGACGGCTTGTTCGATTTCTTCCTCTAAAATGGGGTTAAGTATTTTATTTCCTCTTCTGTTAATCTGGGCAACTTGGTATTTTTATAAATATTCATCCATTTCATTTAGGTTATCAGATTTATTGACATGCAGTTGGGCAATATAACTCCTAATTATTGCTTTAATTTCCTTTTCATTGGTGGTGAATTCACCCTTTTCATTTTTGATGCTGGTAATTTGGTTTTCTTCTTTCTTTTTAAAAATTTTGTTCTTTCTTTTTTTTAAAATGAAATTAATCAAAGGTTTATCTATTTTATTTTTTTAAATAAATCCAACTCCTAGTTTTATTTATTAATAGTTTTCTTACTTTCAATTTTATTAATCTCTCCTTTGATTTTCAGAATTTCTAATTGGGATTTAATTGGAGATTTTAAATTTATTCTTTTTTTTTTTTTAGCTTTTTCAGTTGCATGTTCAATTCATTGATTTTCTCTTTCTCTACTTTACTTATGTAAGCATTTAGAGATATAAAATTTCCCCTAAGAAGTGCGTTGGCTGCATCCCATAAATTTTGGTATGTTGTCTCATTATTGTCATTCTCTTTGATGAAATTATTGATTGTTTCTATGATTTGTTGTTTGACCCACTCATTCTTTAGGGTTAGATTATTTAATTTTATTAATTAGATTAATTTTAATATATCTTTCCATGATCCTTTATTACTTATGTAATTTTTATTGCATCATGACATGAGAATGCATTTAATATTTCTGCCTTTCTCCATTGGATTGTGAGGTTTTTATATACTAATACATGGTCAGTTTTTGTGTAGGTGCCATATACTGCTGAGAAAAAGGTATATTCCTGTCTATCTCGATTCAATTTTCTCCAGAGGAACATTGTATCTAATTTTTTAAAAATTCTATTTACCTCCTTAATTTTAAAAATATGCAACACTGCACGAATTTGCGTTCCATCCTTTCACAGGGGCCATGATAATCTTCTATGTATCATTCCAATTTTAGTATATGTGCTGCTGAAGCAAGCACCTCTTCAACCTTTCATAGCTTATAACCTTTCAAAGTTTCAACATTTCAAAGGCTGTAACTGTCTCTAACGATCCTTCAACTACAAGCAAAAAAGGACATGGAAGAGGCAAAGAACTGAGGTACCATGTATTTGTGGATCACACGTTAGCCTGGTAAGTGGGGAAATAAGCACTCAGCAACAATACTGCTGCTGCTTCTGCTTCGACTTCCCTCCCCAATCAAAGGCTTTTTTTTTGGGGGGGGTGGTGTTGGACTGAGTTTCCTTATCTTGACCAGGCTAAAAACGCAGTGACCAGTCACAGGCTGTATCCTACTGAATGAAACAGAAGTTTTCACCTCCTCTGTTTCTAATCTAGACTGCTTTGGGCATATTCAGTTCTGACTCAGAAGCCTTTGCCACAGGGTAAGCAGACAGGAAACAGTTAAAAATAACTGCTCTAAAGGGCAGAGCAGGGACCTCCATCATGCATGCTCAGAAAAGCAGGCTCACCAAGCAGTCATAGGTGCTCCTAAGACTGGTCCCTCATTGGCCAGTCCCCCATTATGTTCTTCAGACTCTGCCCTGGTTTCTTTCTAGTTTTCTTCTCTTTCTTCTTATACTCTCTAAATATTTGAAGATTTTAAAAGGCAGAGTTGAATCTCTAACAGATTTACAGTAATCCAATGGAAGCTTGAGAATTACGGGTAAGTGGAAGAGAGAAAGGAGAGAGCACTGGGAAATAAGGGTGTTAAAAGTATAGCACTTTACAAAACACTTTGTAACAAGTGATTGGGGAGCTCCCCTGGTCTGTTGAACTGTTATCTCATTTGATTCTCATGACAGCCCTATTATATTACAAGTATTATCACCCCCGTTTTGCAGATGACGAAATTGAGGCTTAAAGAGACAAGGTGAACGGAAAAAGGGAGCCAAATATAAAGACTCTCATAAGATTCCCAGAGAGGTCACACTTGTTTTAGGTCAGGTATTCAAAATGCTTCTCCCCCTCCCCCTTATCTCATCTCCCCAATTCTATTCCCAATTTGGTGAGAATGAGGGGAGAAAAGGAAAGGAAGTGATTGAATATATATTATTTTAGTGTTGGGTTCTGTCTTTATGTCAGTGTCAAGAGTCAGGATTAGAGTCAGGAGACCTAGGTTCAAACCTCAGACTCACCACTCCTCTCTTTGGCTTTGCATGGGTCACTAGGCCTTGAGTTACTCTCTTATAGGATGAGGAGTTGGACTAGATGGATTGAGGTCCATTCCAATTCTAAACTTAATATCCTGTGTAATTATAAGACTATGGGTTGAGAACTATTGAAGAGTAGCTATTGTAATAAAGGTTTGGTTTCTTTTCCCCCAACCCAAAAAGGCAAAATGATTGATGTGCTATGCTAAGCCACAAAGAAAATGCTCAGTCTGGAATATCAAGAGAATCCCGGATGGCACATAACTAAGCAAACTGGTTTCAGGAAAGTTGATTTTTTCATTAAATCATTTTGTGACAAGTAGGATTTGAATGGTAGCAAGAGTCCCATATTAGACAGTAGAGATAAGAGTTTTGGATCAGTGGGAGAGCTGGTACAAGCCTAGGAGGATGATCTGCCAGATGTCAATAGGGGTCTGGCATTCCATGTCTCTGTTCCCATTGCAAATGTGGTCAGCACAGTCAGGCTTCCTGGACCTCTGCCTTATTTTTCTCCTCTTATACTTTGACCTGTGTATTCTCTTTCTTCTTCTACTTACTTCTAATGGCATATTGGATTTCAACAAGATGGTGCTAAGACCAAGAGGTACGATAGTTCTGGAATGAATTTCCTCTGTTAATTTGAAATACACTAGTTGCTGGAATACATGGGCCTTCGGTTATTATTACTTTTTTTTCAGTTCAACACGTATTCATTAAGAACACACTATACATACATACATACACACACACATATGCCAAGCATTATGCAAACACAAAGAATACAAAGATAAAAATGTCTTTGGCAGCCTTTGTTCTGGTAAGGTAAAACAATGTGAACACAGATAGGTAAATAAAAATTATATGCAAAGTAAATGAGTAATTTTTGAGAGGAAAAATACTAAATGAGGATCTGAGGATGGGAAGGTGGGACCATGAAAGGCCTTATCCAGGAGATGGCCCTCAAACTTATTTCTTGAGCTAGGGATACCAAGAGTCAGAGGTGAGTAAAAAATACATTCCAAGCTGAGAATCAAAATGGAAAATCTGGATTGGATTCTAGTGAGAACAACTTAATTTTTCCATCAGTTAATCAGATTAAATCCCCACTATGTGCTGCCATGTTGATATGGCCCTCGCAAATTGCATTTAGATCGGAAGATACTTGTTAATAAAGCAAGGAAGAGAACCAAGGTCTGCAGGTGTAATTTGTTTCTCACTCTCTAATGAAGGTTGGATGGAATTAGGCTTAACAAGTAAAACTTGTTTCTGTCTGAGACTGTCTGTCCCCAAGAGGGAAATTTTGGTTGACTACATCTTGCTTAGATAATGAGGAGATGAAGACCCTGGAATAAGATGTAATTTCCCCAGTGGACAGTTTGCATTTATTTGAAGATTATCTTAGGGATGTGCTGCTTAAATGTTGACAGCAATCAGTGGTGGTTTAAGTATTAAAATTAGATTTGGGGTTTGTAATATTGATGAAATTCCTTGCTATTACACATTTCATGAGGCTTATTAGTGGAAAAATAATAGATATAATCAAGATTCCCATTACTTAAGGTCTTTCATCAATTTTAATAAATAGTGAAAGCATATAATCATTTGGTTAAAATTCAGTTGAGGTAGCTATTTTAAACAATAAGAACTTTTCATACATTGGCTATCCAGTCAATGGGATCCTATGTGGCAAAAATTGTGACTTGGTTAAAGCACAGAACAAAACATCACGTTACACAGTGGTAGGTTTAGAACTGGAAGGATCTCTAAAGCCATCAGTACAGCCCCCTCATTTAACAGATGAGGAACCTGAGACCCAAGGAAGATAAATGACTTGCCTAAGGTCACAGGTAATAAATATCAGAGGGGAGATTTGAACCCAGTTGCTCGAATTTCAGAGCTGTATTCTTTCCACTGTACCAAAATGAATGTGTCATTTTGAGTTTAACAAAATTTAGTAAGTTAAAAGTGATTTAAGGTTTTATAACCTGAATTAGCTCTGCGGGATTTTAAAGGCCTTTTAATTAAAAAGGTGGGAGGAAGGTATTGATGTAACAAATTGCAGGTAAGATGGTTTTTAAAAATGAAGCCAGTCGAGTCCTGGTATATACCCAGGAAGAACCCTAGCTCCCTTTAGGTTGTCCTTGAAATGTGTGAACTCATTTTTCTGGAGTGCTTGCTGAACTGGTAATGGGGTCCTTTGTTCTTGCATTTACTCAAAATCACAGCTGCTTCCGTTTTTAAATGAGGATGAATGAGTTAATACCAATTGCTAATGCTGGGAAAATGTTGGGAACTGCCTTTAAAAGGAAGAGGTAAGGATGGGGAGAGGACAGGGAAACTTGAAGAGGAGCGCCACACAAAGGTGGGTCGAAGGCCTTGGAAAGAGGACAAGCAATCATGAGGACTTCCAGCAAACCTCATGCACAGGGAAACCACCAGGTGGCAACACAAGCCAAAAGAGAATTGAGCCACACATATACTAGGACTTAGGGGAGGGATAGATAAATTAACTTGGTCATGAATAAACTCACAGGGTTATTAAACACACTCTTTTGCTACTGATTCCTGGCCAGCGTCTAGTACTGGGAGCTGATTGGCCTGAAGTGCCTTAATAAGGGTATTCTACAAGAACAGGTTGCACTATGTCAACAAATATTGGAAACCACAACTTTTGAAAGGACCAACTGAGTGTTTCCATTGCCTTGAGGAGAGCTATAAAAGATTAGTTCCATAGTGGCCTACCCACAGTGTTCTGCCAGGAATTGCTGGCCTGTACAATGCCAGGCCTTGAATCCCAGCCAATACAAAGCTGACTATATTGCTAGGGACAGGCAAGTGGGGGTCTAGTATGGCTATGTAGGAATTCTTGGTCCAGATGCAAGAGCACTCAATTTAAAATGTGGTACAACATTCCAACACTACAAACATTTGTTTTACCGTAAGCTGATATGTCCATATATACATACCTAAATATGCACACATACAGATAGATATACATGTATTTTGGAGACCCTAATAAATGCTGTGAGATTCAAAAATGAGTCCACACATTACTTTTGAAATTAGATACATAAATAAGTTAACAAACTGAGACAGCAACTATATGGTCTCCCAGAAGAGGAAGAATCAAAACCAGATGGAGATATAGACCAACAGGGACTGAGAGATGCAGAACAAGAAGAAGAGAATTCACTAGGCAATGGCAGTAAGGTCAAGGAAGACTGGCACAGTAGGGATCTATGCAGTGGAAGATCAACTTGCACCTATCTTTTCACTGGCACCATGTATCACTTGAACTGTGTAAGTCCTAATGGAAGATGGACCCTACCAGAGTGGGAGGTTTTTGGACTCCCTAGCAATTCTGAATTTTATCCCCTTTTTGGAAGAGGAAGGGGTGAGATAGATCTATAGTATAAGAACCATAAATATAGAAGATTATACAGATTGCTGGGGAAGGTGGAGCCCCACCAAAGAGGAAAAGTATTTTAGCTGTTTATGAGCTTTGATGTAAGTACTTGGAGTTCTGGGTTGGCTTAAATAAAACTTGTCCTATATTCATTGTTTTGTTAGCCTGAGTACATGCATAGGAGCTAAGTGCCCTTAGAGTGACATAAGTCAAGTTCTAATGTTCCAAGAGTAGAGGCAAAATGAACTAAACTCTGATATTCTCAGGGAGGAAACCATAGGTCAGAAGAAAACAAGCCATAGAGATAAGAAATTTGTTAGATTCCCTCAAGTTGAACATGGTTCATTTGAGATGAGAGCTTCACTAATAGAATCATCATTTACACACACATGGATTTAGCTCCTTCTCAATGCTAAACTAACT